GAGATCAGTAATAACGAAACTAGAAAAGCCCCACGAATATTTAAAACGCTCAAATGCGCGACAGTTACTTTTAAAACAACTTTGACGTCCTTCCTAAACAGGTACGCAATTTCATTGAAACTTTTCTTCGTATCCTTGAGCGCGTTGAAAGTTGCAAAGTGTCGCGAGGAACAGTGGCAGAGACACGGAGTCAATTATCAAAGTCGGGAACACGAAGAATCGGAGGAAAAATACCGGGGGCGTACAAAACACGGTAAAATATTATTTCCACGGTGATGCGCGACGTTTGCGTTTGATTAAAAGAACGCAAAAAGGGAGGAGATATTTTCTAAGCAACCCTAAAATTTTTCTTCCCTCCTAACTGATCTTCTTGAACATCCAGACACGCCCTTCATCGACCGTTCCTTTCGCGGATTAAGCTCGGGATAAGGTGGTATCCGAAGGAAAGTAGGGTGAGAAAGTCAAGGGCAAGGGCGTGGGCGTGAAACGAAATAAAATGAGAGTATATAGGAGGGGGCTCTAACTGGAACACATTTTTCTATACGTCGAAATAAGGAAGATGCATGAATATCTCTTTCGTTGCAGCTATTGCGTTTCTCGTTCCTTTCCGTGATCAATTATTCTCTGGACGTTCTTCGAGTTGGTTTACGAAACGAATACGGGGGATCTCGTGAAAATATTTCCTAGTTTCCCGTATTCCTCGACGGAAATAAAGAGACTTAATCTCGGATTAAATTTCGGATCAAGCGATATTCGAGAGTGACTGACAATGCTGAGCTGCGCGCAAGAGGGTGTAAAGTAAGGTCGAACATGGGGTGTTAGCGTTTTACCTGCTGCTTCACCCCTTTCTGCAAGGGAAAGGGCTTCCTACGGCGCTTCGCTAAAGAAATAAGCCCCTAAATTTTACGAATTCCGAGAAGCTGAGTCTCGTAACGGTCACCATAAATTCATGCCTCCAGCTTTTAGCCCTGCCGGTGCTACACGTTACATAATCAGCTTTAGAGCACTAGTTAGCTATCAGCGAGTGAAAAGGCGAATAAATTATACAGATATGTGTATATGAATTGGTGCTATTTAACGAACAGCATCAGGATGTAAATGTATCGATGTAAGAACGTTCTATTTAAGTTCAGGTATTCAAGATTTATCATAAATCAAATTAAATGTAGTAAAGTTGCGGTACTGTAGAGTATAAATACATAAATGGCTTGTTACTACTATAACCAACGAAATCGTCGACGACGAACGATCAGATTCGTTTCGTCGGATCGGGAAGAACAGGGAAAGTTTTCGAAAGAAAATTCTCGATGCAAATCTGAAACTAAACTTTGCTTGTCCACGACTCGTCGGGTCTGGGGAATGTACTATATGAGTCGAGCTCGACAGAAACTTCAGCAATTACGATGTCGAAAACCCAATTAACATAGCCGCAACGGTCGCGTATTTTCAATAGAGAACACGAGAAACTTTCCACAAAGGGTTATATTCTATACATAACGGAGTCAAGTTAAACAGTAAGAAGAAATTACTGGACCGGCATTGAACGGGTTAAAAATCCCGAGCAACGACTGCAACTGCCACGGTAAATGAATCGAAATATCGTGCTTTAAATGCTTCGCCGTTGTTACGCCGAAATTACTCGAATTCGAAGGAGAATGAAGAAGGAAGTCTGGAAAGGAGCGTAAGCATGAAACACTGAACTTTATAGTTTCCTCTTAATTAGAGCACAGTATCCAGATGTACAGCGCAAGGACCTTCTCCTTCGTGACCCGCATACGGCATTTGAAAATTTCCCCGTGGACTCGGCGACGAAGAACGTGGGATCACGCGTCATCAAACGACAAAGGCAGGGGGAGGGGGTACCAGAGAAACCAAGAAAAACGAATCGTGTGTGTAATCGAATTAGCCCCAAGATTTTTGTTTCCGTTAATAGCGCTCCGAAAAATCGACTGTCGAGATGCGGACCTATTTCGGTCCATTCTCTCCCGGGTAATGTCTTAATTGGATTATAGGAAGTCCATTTACCGGTTGTGCGTGCCTTGGGACAGAGAAAACACAAGGGAAAAAGCACCGAACGAAAGTAGGAATTTCGTCCGTCGAACTTATAAACGATCGGGCCGCGCGTCCCGATTTCATTTCACGAGCCGTCGCACATCCCGACGTTTCTTCCTCTTCCCATCATAATTGTCATAACTTCCTGCATTTCCTCACCCTTCTATATCGTCGATCGTTCGTTTTTCTCTTCACCAATCCTCCGACTATACGCGTTCACCGAATACGACAGAAACGATCCTCCTTTTCTTCCGGCACCGCCGCCACCGGAGGAAGACATTAGAAATAAATTACCGAGACGCGTCAAAAACTGATAAAGTATTCCCGAAGAAGCAATATTAGCAAAGACGTTCGCGGCAATAATTCTCGCCCCGCGAACGAACATTTAACCACCGGGACGGATGAATTATCGCGTTCGATGAATCGCCATCGTCCTTATTCTATTAGGGGGATCCTAAAGTTCGTTGAATATACCGTTCCTTACGATCGGTCTGAGACCTTGGCTCCTTTCTAGTCGTAAGAATAAGTACACTTGTAAAATTACTAATATTTAAATCTTTCGTATATCAAAATTATTCCAATCTAACTGTCGCTCGTTTAGAAATTCGACGCACCCCCGTTTGATTTTGGTTGAAAGGACTGAAATTCTCGAAGAAGGCAGAGGCTACGAAAGTTAAACGGGGAAATTTCGTAGACGTCCAGTGGAGCTCGAGGGACGAAGTAACGAATTTCAAGAAACATTAGGCTCCCTTCGTGACGAAGCGAAAGGTCCGTCCAGCTAGGGGGCGAGGCTGGGTTAAGGTCAGACCGAGCCGGCCGAGTCGGGATCGTCTTGGTCTGTAACCGATCGTAAGGGGATCGCGGAAAATGTCGTCGAAGGAAACCAAGGGAGACGGAAACTCGAAGAAGGAGAATCGGAGAGAGCGAGAGAGAGAACGTAGTATTGACGTTGCGCCCGCTTTTAAATATTGCATCCAAGTCACGTTCAGGACCGTATCCTCTCCACCCCCAACCCTGGAGCCCGGTGCTCCCACCGACAACTTCGAGTCACCCCCTTCCCCTTTTTCCAACCCCACCAGCCAAGCGGCTGGGCCGAACGTCGCATAACTACCGCAAGGTTTCCAGGGAGACAAAGGAAAAGCCTGGAGGAAAGAAGACAGGACGCGAGGACCGTGGAACGCGTGCGAGCGGGAAAGAGGGACAGGAACAAGGGGAGATCGAGGGAAGAAAAAACATCCGTGGCCAGTCTCTTTCACCCCGCGGTGCGGCGTAAAGAAAAAAAAGAAAAAAAGAATGGAGAACGAAGGGTGGAAGCGAAAAAAAAATAATGCACGGAGAGCGGTTCTGCCGTTTGTGCGGGAGACACGTTCGACGCTTCGGGAGAATGGAAACGAGAGTATGAAAGAGCGAAAGAGGTCCACTGAGCCGAGATGCGAAACTCTGGTTGCGTTCCCTTTGTCATCCACCTGCCCCTTTTGTCGGCGCCGCGATCGTCGTTACAGTCATTTCTTTCTAAACGATTTATTTAATCTACGGGCGAAAACACGGAACGTTCAAGGAGCCGCAACGCTACGACTTACGAGTGTTAATAACCGATCGAGTGAAAAGGAGAACGAGCAAGGATCGTGTGTTGCGCGAAAATTTCAAGTTCCACGCAGCGGTACGTGCAACCACGTATGAAAATTTCAAGACGTAAGCAGGTAAGAAAACTCGACATTGACGCGGGTCGACCTTTAACGCGATCCCTTTGCGCGATCCTTGGAAGTCGTTCCTGGGGGTCGATCGTTACTTGATCATCGCGTTCTGAAATTTATTTACCGCGTTTGAAGTAGGTCTCGACCGTAGAGAGCAACTGCAGACACTTCCGAGAATCGACCTGCCGCAACGAAAATATATAAAATCCTAGTCTGTACGTCGAGACCCAGACCCCGAGTCTCTCGAGCCGAGCGTGTCCTTAGAATCGCAGACATCTTATCTTATCGACTACCGTGGCGAATTAACGGTGTCAAGGACAAAAACGTAAATTACTCTGTTACCCCCTGTAGGGTGTAAGTCCAAAGGGGGTGTCGCAAAATTTACGAACCACGTCTAAAATTAAGTCCGCAACCCGTTTGATTTATTCTTCGATCGATGGGCTTTCTAAATTACGTAAATTGTACAAAACGAAATTTTTCAATTAACACGAACGGTACACGAATCGTCAGAAATTGCAGAAAGTATAGTAAACGTTCGGTACTCGATCACAAATCGCGTGAAATCGTCAATGAGACAGTGTATTGACGCGCGTATTGACTAACAATGGAGGTCGTTTCGATCATCTGCTACGTTTGCGTTTTAGACACAAATAAATTATTTTAGAAGCTTCTTAATTTAAATTAACTTGTAAATTTTACGGCGTCCTTTGTTATTTAACCTACATAAAACTTTTTATTCTTTTAAAGCCAAACTAGGTTCTTATCCTTGCAACGTACACGATACAAAAATAGCAGACGGCCTTAGGGCACGTTAAAGTCGAGCCTTCTTTACAACGCTCCTCGCCTTTTCATGATTTCGTAAGCAACGCGAGCAAAATATTGAAGTGCGTAGCAATTTTTCGAACCGAGTCCCGGCGAAAAGAATTCACGCAACACTGAAAATCAATGGTAACCACGTATCGGAATGACGACGAAACAAAATGACATTTTGCGCGGGATGTACGCGAATGACGCAACAGTCACTCGACAAAATGACGTTCGTTACGATTCGATAGTTATAACATTTGGCTTTAAAAATTTCGCGCGAAACTACCGCACGGCACGCGAACGGACCTATAGAATGAGTCAGTTTAAAGAGAACACCGTTCGAACGACCCGGGAACACGACAGGATTGACAACGATTCGAAGCGACCACGAACAATACAAATTACACTTCAAACAAATCGAACGTAAGAAAAAGAATATTCGCTTACCCTATATGTGGATCCGGAGTGTCTTCTCCGTTGAATATTCGAAAGAATTAGGCCCCGCGTCAGCTGTTCCTTCTATGTCCACCGTTTGTCCATTCACCTTGAACGGGCACAGATAACAATGAAAACGAGCGCGAGAAAAAGGAGCGAAAAGAAGATGCGCGACACTACGTTACACTGTACAAACGAAGGGAGCGACACGCAGCGCCAGGACAAGGTTAGAAACGCCGAAATGCCTCGGCGATGAGCACGGACCGTAACGTCTAGTTCGCCTCGAGGGCGTCGCGGCGCTGTCGGGCGACGATGCGACCGTGTTCCTACGATACCCCCACGAAAGTGTCCCCCGTTTCGTGCCTTTCTCCCGCGCAAACGCTATTGGCCGCCCCTCCGATCATTTCCCCACCACGCACCAAGTCTAGGTATGTTGGTTTTTCGACCAACGTGCTGTCCGCTAATTTTCACGATGACCCTTGTATTAATTATCGAAACGGTCTTCCAAAATTTCTGCCACCAATTCCGCCAATCACCGCTCGTTATTTGTCGATGCACTAATGGGCTTAGTTTACACCGAGCACATTCTTAATACGCGAATTGTAAACTAATGCGCCCTAACAGTTAACTTGACTATGTTCGCACCAAACAAGAGTACGGTTTATACTTGTTTGAAATATGTTAGTGTGTCTTTTGGCTTATGAAAGTTCATAAGAATTAGGAAGTGCAATTACGAGAATGTTTGTTTCGTTCATTAGACATAAAATTTACTTACGTTTAGTTAACCTCACGCTGAACACAGTCTAATGAAGCTTACACGTTATTATTTACACTATGTCTAATTTCTTTAGTTTGTAATTTGTCTATTGCGAATAAAACATATACACCGTACACATATCAAACGTTCAGTGAGAATGCCCATATTCTGTGTGAAGTTGGCAACGATCGAATGCACGTTCGAACTGCACGGTTCGTGAGTCATACGCAGTATCTTTAATTAGTTAGAATTTTATAAATAGATTACATTAGAGGGAATAATGTTCTCAAAAATTGTTAATTTAATTTTTAGCTTGTTTGCGTATCCCAGATTAATATCTCTTTTCTGATATTTTATATGTGCAGAATGTATATAGTCTGTCAATGACTTCGGTGACAGTTGCAAACAATGGCGATTGCGCGGTAGGAAGTAGCTCGTAATCTTTTCAATTCATTTTTACTTATTTCTCGTACAAACGTGTTATTTGTGTAAACATGTCAGAAATTCATGGAACAACTTAGTGGCCTACGAATCTCGTGTTCAACAACAGAAACGATCTTCGACGCGAAGTATATCATCGTCGAACGAAGTTGAAACGCGGCGTCGAGACATTCTACGAAGCTACGTGCAAAGAAGAAGTTAAATGCATCGACGATTGAAATATTCATTGGAGATTTGGAAATATTTGGAGCTTCTCAAAGAAGACAACATCCGTTAGCTTCTGACATCAGCTGTAATAATTGGTAGCATCGATGGGTGAGTGATCATATATTATTTTACATCGATTGCTGCAGTTTGATCTCATCTCGCGAGCATAAGTAGTCAAAGCGAATCATAGATGTCGCCATTACCTAGCTACAATTGAAACGAACCGTTAAACACAACGTGTATCGTCGACAAGAAAGCGGAATAATACGATCAAATCTGTGACAGTCAGAAAATTGAAAAGGTTATGTGTGCAGTAGCGAGGCGTTCTCCCGGCTAATCGAAATCACGTTAATGATTATAATAGACAATAGGTTCAGGAAGCGTGGCACGAATGGTATGTGTAATTGTGTACTTGCCAGAAGGGAGGGCTGCAAAAGTGAATCGCGGGCTCGTGGCACACACTCCTACGACAACCGTACAAAAATCAATACGTACAGCTACGAGAATTCACAATTTACGGTTTATCTATGGTTTTTAAACAAATCTATTACGTTGCTGTTTTTGTTAAAACGCATCGGGCCGTGAACTGGCGGCAATATCGCGGATCGTACGAGCCGCTGAGCAAATAGGTTTCTAAATCTTTAACCGCGGATTAAATGGCACAATGCGAATATCGTACGAATAACAGGTCATAGTTTTCATGAAATATCGAGTTGAATTATAGACTTTTATTAGAATATCGTGGTTGTGTCATTGAGGAATTCAGAATAACAGATATTTAACATTTAAAGGTTTTTGATCGGCATATTTGGTACAGTGTTAGGTTAGGTTTTATATACAAAGTAAATCTCTGGAAACTCGTCAGAAATAACTTTTCGTGTATTGATTTTAGAGGAAAATGTTTTGAACGAAATATATTTTGTCTGGGATGGAGACATTTGGGTTAATATTGTTCGATGTATACTAAAATTGTAACAAGATCGATATTTTCATGCACACCGACGTCTTTGCTAATTTGGAATACACATCACGCCCTGCGCGAGGCATTTGCAAACATTCGGCGATCCCAGACTTGTTAATTATTCGAACCCCTAGGTCAGACAGGAGCTATTACCCGTCTGTGTCTGCAAAAAAGTACCATTTCCCAAGTAATTTTGCGTACTGCGGGCAACGGCGACCGTTTATTTATTAAAACACTCAGTGGTATGGACCTCTTTAAATCACGCGCATCCCTCGAGTATCCGTGTCTCTCTAATATTTATTAATCTCATTCGAGCTGACCGCTCTTGGCACGAACACATACTCCGCGTTGGGCATTCGTTCGTCTGAAACAAACCGTTGCAATATTAAACACATCTTGATCGATGATCGCGACACCCTTCGATGATCTAACAAGAATGATACATTTGAAAAGTCCATTTTGATTACTACAAATTATACTCACAATCAGTCTTATTCTAAAAGCGGTTTCTAGATACAGGGTATTCGGCCACCCTTGGGAAAAATTTTAATGGTAGATTCCAGAAACCAAAATAAGATGAAAATCAAGAATACCAATTTGTTGATCGAGGCTACGCTAAAAAGTTATTAACGTTTAAAGTTCCGCATGTACGTATGCGTGATAGTGGTTCTCTGCTCGCAAATTGCCATTCTACAAGCGCAACTTTAAACGTTAATAACTTTTTAACGAAGCCTCGATCAACAAATTGGTATTCTTGATTTTCGTCTTACTTTGGCCTCTAGAATCTATCATTAAAATTTTTCCCATGAGTGACTGGATACCTTGTATATTAAGAACATTAAAAACTCCGCGTACGTCTGAATGTTTCGATAAATGTATTCTTGCAAGATCGTGGGTGTGGAAATCGCAACTAGGCGAGTGTCGATAACAAGCTGTTACATAAACACCGAACTCTGATACATTAAAGCTGTATAAAATTAATTAACGTGCCACTGCGCCTGACAGGAAATTAACAGCCATTGTCCGGTATATCAATTTATTAGGTTCATCCGCGCGGTTCATAGCGTGAAAGCGAGCACGGACATTAAACGATTATATTTTCGAGCAGCCCCGTATAAGCAGGTACGTTGATCAGGGTCGGCTCGGGCAGTTTGCACGTCAAAGTTTACCAAAGGTTCTTCAGGGCCGATGCACCGGACCTTCCCGTTGCCACGGTGTACACTTCTACCGTGGACACTGTGTTCATTATCGCGCGCGCAGGTATAAAGGGCTATACCCGGAATACCGAACAACGCCGCCTGTGTGCGCTTGCTGTAATATATGTGTAATAATAACACGTACTTACAGAAATAGTCGTAACGGGACGACCGTGTACGTGTGCGCGTACACGGCGTCACGGAGGGGCAGAATGGGGCGAGTCAAGGCGAGCGCATTAGGGGTGGGTGATTGTAATTTCACACATGACGTAACGCATCCCCCTACCCTCTATTCTGCCGTCACCACCCCTCAGCGTCGCTTCGTCTCTCCGCTGTATTTTGCTTTCGTACGTTCAGCATACGCGTGTCTACACACACGACGGAAGGAAACCCCGGTCTTCTGTGTTTCTCCGTATCCACCCTCTCGCGCCCACACCCCCCCTTATCACTTTGTCTCACCGTAACTCCTTGTTCCTCGCTTTGCCCGCCCAGGAGACGGCGCTTGGCGCGATCTTTCTCCTCTCTCTGGAACCGCGACCGTGTCCGTAGTGACAACCAAAACTGATGGTCCCGCGCTGAGTAGAATTTTCGGTTGAGAGCACGACACTGATAGCCGTCGGATATAACCGAAGAAGGGTGTCGTCGACGAGAGGAGTTAGGCATACACGGCGAGGATTCATCGTCGTTCAGCGTCGCGGGCCGACATTACGAATTCTGTTTTGCCGTTAGACACGCGCCGAGCCACGGGTGGCAGGTTGCTTTATTAAGAGCAGCTCATTACGCGTAAGTGGATGAAGTAATACTTTGAGGGATAATTGAAGGATACGCCGTCGTCGTCGGTCGTTCATTGTCGACCTGGCTTTCCATTCGCCTGCGCAGACGTCGTCTTCCCGTGCTTTCTTGTTCCTCACGGTGTCTCGGATTAGAACTCGTTTCCGTACTGATTAAAATTTCCGGTTGAAAAGACGCCGCTAATATGTCGGGGATCGTCTCGTCGGTCTTGGGTGCGAACGACTCTGTATATCGACTTTATGTTAGCAAATTTGTACTCCCGTTAATGGTTGGAAAAGTATGAATCGATAATGCAAACAGTGTTAAAATGGCCATTGCTGGTAAACGGTGCTTCATCGGGAAATAAAATCCCCGGAAAAAAGAAATCGCCGTGATTAATTCGCTGCCTCGACCGAGTGCAAAAACGTATACGATTTCGAAAATCGTTTTCTAGTAGCTGCTGATGCAGCGATATGTGGTATGAACGATATCGGTGCACTTGTAACGTTCGATGAACTGAACTGCGACTGATTCCGTTATCTCTTGCTATTTGTCGAATGCTGGTCTCTGGATTTACAGTAGCTGCAGTCAATACATTAATCGCATTATCGTCATTTGTTACGAACACCCTTCTGTTTGGTGTTTTGTAATATCCACAATACGTTGGTAGTTTTAATATCGGACCTTTCTGCATGAGCTTCACTGGCACGTTAATCTAATAATCACATTTTAAATCACTGTCTGTACTATAGGGAATACCAACAATTATCTGTTTTGCTATCGACTATTCGAAATTAGCTGGAACGATCGATATCCAGGTAATTTAAAATAGTCGACGGACGATTGCTAAACTATAACATTTTTAATAGACTAACAGTAGTTTTCTCGGTATCGATAAACCATGGCCAAATTTAATTTACGACAAATATCGAGGAACACAGGGTTTGACGCA